GCATAACCAAAATGTTTGTATGTAATGTTCACTCAGAATGTGACAGTATAATGTTTAAAATTGTTTTGAAATACATTACAACACTGGAGACGAAAGCAGTAACATCGTGTCCGTGTGTTTTCATTATTCCCCTTTACAGGGGCGTAACAAATACACCTGTACCAGGGAATTTGTGAGGTATATTTGTTAGAAACAGGTCTAAGATGGAGGACTTTTCAGGACGGTTTTTGTTTAGTCTAGTCGGAGAGTTGATCAGTTGGTAAGATTGAGAGACAGGCAACATTCCTTGAATTTATCACAGAGGGGGGTCGACTTATCCCAGTCAATGTTGAAATCTCCTGCCGAAAAGATCTCTTTGAATTTTAAATTACCAAGGAATTCCATCAGGGAAGACAGAGCCTCAGGTGTTGCTGAGGGAGGACGATAACAACCCACTACAGATAAAATCTGGTCTCCATTCAAAGTGATGTTTACAGCTAAGGCTTCAAACTGGTTTGGAATTGTTTTAGAAGACACAAGACTAGCAACCAGAGAATCTCTGATGAAAATAATGACTCCACCCCCTTTTTTGACGATCACAGCAGTAGATGTTAAATCCATTAATTACCAGGTCATTATTCAGTACAGATTTGTTGAGCCAGGTTTCAGAGATGAAGATTACATCTGCCCCAGAAGAACTGACCAGAATTTTCAAGGCATCAAGTTTTCTCAGAAGGCTACGTGTGTTTACATGCAGAAAATGAAGTCCAGACACGTTTTTAAAGTCATTTGGTGTCATATAAATAGTTTGGGGTCCAGGGTTGGGCTGAATCCCTGAGAGCAGTAACAACATTATTATCAGACATTTTCATGAGTTTCTCATGACTGATGTGCAATTACAGGAGTTAGTAGTGTGACACTTAGCCCTCATAATTGAACCATGAGAAACATTAAATATGACACGATCATTCAGAACTCAAAAACAGTGAAAGTTGCAGTGATGGACAGATTCAGGTGTATTAACAAGATTCAGTAACTCCAGATAATCTGAGATCTGAAAATAATGACAATAATATGAATGGTGCAGAAAAGTCTCAGACCATAAATCAAATGGGCAAACAAATCTGACGAGGTGTCCCAACTGCAGTTTGAGTTGGGCTGAGAGGTGCTCCGGCCCCCCTGTGAAGATGGATGGATGCTCCCATGAGAAACAGAAGCTGGGTCCAAAACCAACAGGCAGAAACAGATAATTAGCAGCAAATAGCAGAGTGAGCTGCCAGAAAATCCTCCTGCAATGAAAGGCATGGTCCTAGCTCGTTTCAGGTCAACAGGGGACAACAGTGTCATCCAGAATAAAAATAATTATTATCCAGGTGAGTTTGGATGGAGGCCTGTAGCAACTCCAATGTAAACTCCGAACTTCTCTCGAGCACCACGCAGCGCTGCTCCTCCGCTTCTCTGCACATCACCTCTGCACCCGACAGCATGAGAGGCACCCCTGGTGAAAACTACGAGACTGACCGGAGAGGCTGAGGCTGAAGTTGTCACTGATCCGGTCCGGTTCCACTCCATTCCGGCTCTGGTGCACCACAGCTCGAGAAACAAAGAGGCTGAAGTTGTCCCTGGCCTGGTTCTGTTCCAGTCCAGTTCTGGCAGCTCTTCAAAGCATCGGAGCATCTCCTCCAGGCGAAAACAGCGATTCCACGGAGGTGGACAGTCCTTCGTTAAAAGTAATGGGCTGCTCACTGAAGCTGAGACCAGCTCTGTTGAAGACAAAGTCCCCCTCATCCAACTCGGTTCGGTTCTGGTCCAGTTCGGGGGACACAGGTACACTTCCCCCACACCAATGAAGACACCACGAGGCCAGTCCAGCAGAAAACAGCGAAATACCACCCGGCGATTCTTGTCGGAACCAGGTAGAACCACAAAGGTCCAGATGAGAAGTACATTGGGGTCCAGAGAGAGAGAAAAAACACCGGACCTTTGTGCGACGATTCCCCAGCTCGAGGGGTCACCTGGCTGGCAGGGTGCGCTCAGAGTGACCGGTGGGGTGGGAGCGGCCAATCCTGGACCAAAATATATTTTTGGACGGTCTTGTCCGGCTCTCTGAGTCACTGAACACCAAATTCGCTTGGAAGAGGTACCAACTTTAGTCCGGTTCGAAAAACGGGTCAGTTTGTTGATAAAAGACTAGAGAAGCCGGAGGGACCTGCCGTCCATCAGCTTGCCGGAAGTGGAATGATTAAATTAACAGTAATTACACATCCAAACCCGACCGCCCCCGCCAACTAACATTTTTAATTAAGTAGTTATTAATGGTCTGTGGATGCGTGGCTGATAAAGGGGGCAGAAGATTGGAGCTGAGGGGGTGTTTCTCCTTTCATAGCTGTCAAAGCACATTAAATGCTTCCCCTGCTTCTGCCTGCATTCTGCATTATTCAGACACGGACCCTGCTCTGACATGTCAGATATTTTGTGATCTCACCTGTTTGTCAGATGCGCGCATCCACTGAGTGCAGCGGCTGAATGAATGTCCACTTGGGCTGGTGGGTCACTGGCAGTAGTCCATTTGAAGCTCAACTGAACTTTTTACCTCTTTCAACTGGCCGGTCAGCACGCGGTCAAATGGCCGCGTGCGGCTGGTGACAGTATGGCAAGCCATTTTGCCATATAATTGGATCATCAGCCGCGCGCGTCCACTGACGCAATCAAAAGTCCGAAACTGACCCGGCCCGCACATTAAGAACATGGACCGGCCCGGTCCAAATCTGGGTCGGGTGGGGCTGGGCTCTAGTTTCAGGTTTGAAATGACAGCTCTAGGCGTGGTGGCGTAGAGGTTAGAGAGGGTGGGTCTGTGATTGGAGGGTCGCTGGTCAACTCCCCGGACCGACAACATAAAAAATGTGAGTGGAAGAGGTGAAACCCCAACACCTGCCTCCACCCTCATTTGCCCCACTCTGAGCCCATGAGCAAGGCACTTAACCCCCACCATCTGCTCCCCCCAGGCGCCCTAGATGGCAGCATTCTGCTTCACATGTGTGCTCACATGTGCCATGGGAAAAATGCAAATAATTAATTTCTCCATTGGAGATTAATAGTGTACAATAAAATGAAAAAAGTCTTAGTTTTAACATTTGAAACATTTAGTAAATGGACTGTACTTATACAGCTCCTTTCTATCTTATCAAGACACTCAAAGCTCTTTACAACACAATCTGTGCCTCATTTACCCATTCATACTTCACTCTATCTTTACAAAGAACAATCAGTGTTTCCACGTTCATACACTGATGGGACACACATCGGAGGCAACAGGGGGTTCAGTGTCTTGCCCAGGAACACTTCAACATGTGTCCTGATGATGGACAACATGTGATGCTGATGGAATCAAACTCCCAACACTCCCATTGGAGGGCAACTGCTCCAACCACTCAGCTACAGCTGCCCCATAGTGTAATGTGTTCCATAGTGAATAAAATATGGATTTGTGATATTTGCAAATCCTTGCAAGAGGCACAAAGGCACCAATGTACATGTTACACAATACCAGCATTTTTATTTTATTTGGGGTTGCACATAAAGTAGATATCTTCTTGTACTGTAGAGGTAGGGCTCAACAGAGGGCCGGTCTAACTAATCAATGATAGTTCAATCATCCTACAATGATTTTCATGAGGCCTCGGGTGGGAGTTTGGGAAATGTCTTCCAGTGTTGTCCCACTGTCAAATTAAACAACACAACTTCAGACAGATAAGGTAAAGGAGACGTGGGAGCATGTTCTGGCAGAAAGTGCTCCTTGTAGAGCTCAGGTGGGGCAGGGCAGTGGCAGTCCACAGTGAGTACGAGGTGAAGAGGTCCTCACAGGCAGAAGTCAAAGGTTAGGTCGGACATGGCCATCTTCTCTCTGTACACTGCATCAAACTTTTCATTCATGGACACGGTGAAGACATCCTTCCACAGACCGACACGACCTGCAAGAAAAACAGGAACAGTTAGAGTTTGCACAAACAGATCTGCTGAGTTGTGGCTGTTTTCACAATAAAGGCATTAAATTGAAATGAACTTGTTCCAACTGCAAAAGGAATGCATCTTGTCTTTGACAGTGACTCAACTCACCTGTATGACACTGAGGAGAGCCACAGTCAGATCTATAAAGTCAATAGCAAGCCAGAGAGCAGATTTCAACTCACTGAGTGAATAAACAAATGGAGGAAACAAACATGACAACAGAAAAAAAAGCATAAGTAAAACGAGATCACAAACATAAAATTAAAACATTAAAAATTAAAGTAAGAAAATACAAAAATAATGTACCCGTTTATGTAAAAAGGTTTTAAAAATAAAATAAATAAAAGACAGAAAGACAGCTGATTAAAAAAAAACCCAAAGATCATGCAATTTGTGGTGCAGTTATAACATGGCGCCACATGATGGAGACACAGTCATCAACCAGAGTCTAGAAACACAGTATGTCTCATCACTATAGTCAACTGAAAACAAAGTGCTACACACACAGCCATGAGGACAGACAGAAAGCAGACAGACATAGTGGTGTCTGCCTTGTCAGTATGTCTGTCTCTATGTCAAGTAATAAAATATCAGAGATCGTGGAGCCCACGTGTACAAAGTTCTGGACATCCTCAAGACATGTTGTTGATTCTGATGCTGAGTTGAGAATCTGCATCCTACCCTATGACTTGCATTTTCTTCAAGCTAATGAGTGAGTTCATAACTGCTGCAGGCTAAGCTAAACTTTTTGATAAGTTGCTGCAAATCAAGGCTTCAAGGATTTTTCTTTGTCATACCAGCTCACATTTGCATGTTTGTGGTATGAAATTTGAACTCAGGTCCCAGATCAAAAAGCCTAACAATTAACAAATAAATAAATACAAAAGAGTATATATATATTCAATTCAAATTCAATTCAATTCAAATATACTTTATTAATCCCAGAGGGAAATTATTTGTTGTAGTAACTCGTTATTCTCATTTCATTAAGAGATGTTATAGATGCTGATGGCTGTAGACAAGAAGGATCTCTTGTAAAGGTCCATCCCACAATGGATCCTATGAAACTGGCTGCAGATGCCGTCCGATCTGTCCACCCAGACTCGGCTGGCCTCTCGGTTCCCCTGGGCTGTAGGACCGCCTGAATGCCGGGCAGAACTCCTCCCAGAGCGATGGCCACTCCTCCCAGCAGTCTGCCGAGCTCCTCGTTGCTGTGGACAGCCAACCGTAGGTGCCGAGGGACGATCCTGTCCTTCCGCTGTCATGAGTTGTGTTTCCTGCTAGTTCCAGGATCTCAGTGGTCAGGCACTCAAGCACAGCTGGCGGGTAGATGAGAATGCGTCCACAGAACATCCTTTTCAACTCATTTGAGATTTGGGGCTGTAGTTGAGATATTATTTGAGCTTTTGAGATGTTAATCAGCTGCTGTTGGTTGTAGAAAACTGCCTTGTTGCCATGGTTACGCATCATAACAAATGTCCAAAACTAAAAAAGTTTCAGTAAAAATCCTTCCAGCTGCACAGCATCTGATACCAGAGGAAACCATCATCCAAAAAAATGTGATTAACATCCAGAAAAAGAGGAATTAAAGTTTCCAAAAGCAAAATCTCAGAATGAAAGTAACAGAGCTGCTCCAACATGCA